AAAAGGAGAAAATCGTATTAATGGTGTATAATTGTTTCCCCTTAGTGAGGAATTGTATGATTGTTTCCCCTTAGTGAGGTATTGTATGATTGTTTCCCCTTAGTGATGAATTGTATGATTGTTTCCTCTTAGTGAGGAATTGTATAATTGTTTCCCCTTAGTGATGAATTGTATAATTGTTTCCCCTTAGTGAGGTACTGTGTGATTGTTTCCCCTTAGTGAGAAATTGTATAATTGTTTCCCCTTAGTGAGGTACTGTGTGATTGTTTCCCCTTAGTGAGAAATTGTATAATTGTTTCCCCTTAGTGAGGAATTGTATAATTGTTTCCCCTTAGTGAGGAATTGTATGATTGTTTCCCCTTAGTGAGGTATTGTATGATTGTTTCCCCTTAGTGAGGTATTGTATGATTGTTTCCCCTTAGTGATGAATTGTATGATTGTTTCCTCTTAGTGAGGAATTGTATAATTGTTTCCCTTAGGAATTGTATGATTGTTTCCCCTTAGTGAGGTATTGTATGATTGTTTCCCCTTAGTGATGAATTGTATGATTGTTTCCTCTTAGTGAGGAATTGTATAATTGTTTCCCCTTAGGAATTGTATGATTGTTTCCCCTTAGTGAGGTATTGTATGATTGTTTCCCCTTAGTGATGAATTGTATGATTGTTTCCTCTTAGTGAGGAATTGTATAATTGTTTCCCCTTAGGAATTGTATGATTGTTTCCCCTTAGTGAGGTATTGTATGATTGTTTCCCCTTAGTGATGAATTGTATGATTGTTTCCTCTTAGTGAGGAATTGTATAATTGTTTTCCCCTTAGGAATTGTATGATTGTTTCCCCTTAGTGAGGTATTGTATGATTGTTTCCCCTTAGTGATGAATTGTATGATTGTTTCCTCTGTAGGGAATTGTATAATTGTTTCCCCTTAGGAATTGTATGATTGTTTCCCCTTAGTGAGGTATTGTATGATTGTTTCCCCTTAGTGAGGTATTGTATGATTGTTTCCCCTTAGTGAGGTATTGTATGATTGTTTCCCCTTAGTGATGAATTGTATGATTGTTTCCTCTTAGTGAGGTATTGTATGATTGTTTCCCCTTAGTGAGGTATTGTATGATTGTTTCCCCTTAGTGAGGTATTGTATGATTGTTTCCCTTAGTGAGGTATTGTATGATTGTTTCCCCTTAGTGAGGTATTGTATGATTGTTTCCCCTTAGTGAGGTATTGTATGATTGTTTCCCCTTAGTGATGAATTGTATGATTGTTTCCCCTTAGTGAGGTATTGTATGATTGTTTCCCCTTAGTGAGGTATTGTATGATTGTTTCCCCTTAGTGAGGTATTGCATGATTGTTTCCCCTTAGTAAGGTATTGTATGATTGTTTCCCCTTAGTGAGGTATTGTATGATTGTTTCCCCTTAGTGAGGTATTGTATGATTGTTTCCCCTTAGTGAGGTATTGTATGATTGTTTCCCCTTAGTGAGGTATTGTATGATTGTTTCCCCTTAGTGATGAATTGTATGATTGCTTCCCCTTAGTGAGGTATTGTATGATTGTTTCCCCTTAGTGAGGTATTGTATGATTGTTTCCCCTTAGTGAGGTATTGTATGATTGTTTCCCCTTAGTGAGGTATTGCATGATTGTTTCCCCTTAGTGAGGTATTGTATGATTGTTTCCCCTTAGTGAGGTATTGTATGATTGTTTCCCCTTAGTGAGGTATTGTATGATTGTTTCCCCGTAGTGAGGAATTGTATAATTGTTTCCCCTTAGTGAGGTATTGCATGATTGTTTCCCCTTAGTGAGGAATTGTATAATTGTTTCCCCTTAGTGAGGTATTGTATGATTGTTTCCCCGTAGTGAGGTATTGTATGATTGTTTCCCCTTAGTGAGGAATTGTATAATTGTTTCCCCTTAGTGAGGTATTGTATGATTGTTTCCCCTTAGTGAGGTATTGTATGATTGTTTCCCCTTAGTGAGGTATTGTATGATTGTTTCCCCTTAGTGAGGAATTGTATGATTGTTTCCCCTTAGTGAGGAATTGTATGATTGTTTCCCCTTAGTGAGGTATTGTATAATTGTTTCCCCTTAGTGAGGTATTGTATAAATTGTTTCCCCTTAGTGAGGTATTGTATAATTGTTTCCCCCTTAGTGAGGAATTGTATGATTGTTTCCCCTTAGTGAGGTATTGTATGATTGTTTCCCCTTAGTGAGGAATTGTATGATTGTTTCCCCTTAGTGAGGTATTGTATAATTGTTTCCCCTTAGTGAGGTATTGTATAATTGTTTCCCCTTAGTGAGGTATTGTATAATTGTTTCCCCTTAGTGAGGAATTGTATGATTGTTTCCCCTTAGTGAGGTATTGTATGATTGTTTCCCCTTAGTGAGGTATTGTATGATTGTTTCCCCTTAGTGAGGTATTGTATGATTGTTTCCCCTTAGTGAGGTATTGTATGATTGTTTCCCCTTAGTGAGGTATTGCATGATTGTTTTCCCCTTAGTGAGGTATTGTATGATTGTTTCCCCTTAGTGAGGTATTGTATGATTGTTTCCCCTTAGTGAGGTATTGTATGATTGTTTCCCCTTAGTGAGGTATTGTATGATTGTTTCCCCTTAGTGAGGTATTGTATGATTGTTTTCCCTTAGTAAGGTATTGTATAATTGTTTCCCCTTAGTGAGGTATTGCATGATTGTTTCCCCTTAGTGAGGTATTGTATGATTGTTTCCCCTTAGTAAGGTATTGTATGATTGTTTTCCCTTAGTAAGGTATTGTATGATTGTTTTCCCTTAGTAAGGTATTGTATGATTGTTTCCCCTTAGTGAGGTATTGTATGATTGTTTCCCCTTAGTGAGGTATTGCATGATTGTTTCCCCTTAGTGAGGTATTGTATGATTGTTTCCCCTTAGTAAGGTATTGTATGATTGTTTTCCCTTAGTAAGGTATTGTATGATTGTTTCCCCTTAGTGAGGTATTGTATGATTGTTTCCCCTTAGTAAGGTATTGTATGATTGTTTTCCCTTAGTAAGGTATTGTATGATTGTTTCCCCTTAGTGAGGTATTGTATGATTGTTTCCCCTTAGTAAGGTATTGTATGATTGTTTTCCCTTAGTAAGGTATTGTATGATTGTTTCCCCTTAGTAAGGTATTGTATGCTGAGGGAATCACCTCTCATGAGATACTAATTCAAGAATTTGCATAAATAGTTCAGAAAATAGACGCATTGATAAATGAAAAACATGTGCAACATCTGGGTATCTTTAAAGATACCCAAATGTTGCACAATTATCTAAAACTGTTGCAACATTGCCTTAAATATTTACTTCTTCAAGGTCGATGGACTGATTACTTAATTTCATCACCACTACACCATCTATCTCCATGTTTGCTTTCCACTATTTTTGACTGAGGAAACCTGCCGTGTAGGCGATGTATTTCAGCCATAAAAATACCCACCTGTTGTACGTGTGTCTTATTAGTCTACATGTCTGTCTGGTTGATTATATAGTTCTGACGATGTTGCATCAACACGTCGGTCAGTCTGGTTGAAGGTTATGTAATCCTGACAGCAAATACCATCAATATTTGTGTTTATGTTAAGATCAGAGTCGCTATTCTAAATGCTGGATCCAGGAGAGAGAAATGCTTCTCCTTTTTCAGGTTGGTTTTCTAAAGCAAGTTTTCTCTCTTGCATATTTTTAAAGCTTGGTTTCAGTATTTGATATTTTGTGCAATTTCATTGTATTTTAAATAGTATTTTTTTTTTACAGTGTATTTGGATTATAAGTGGCTTTGGCATGCTGCTCTTACCTGTATTTTTTGTACCTCTGTTTGTATGCTAAATTTCTAAATAAATAAATAAATAAATATATTTATTTTGTCTTTTTTACGAAGTATATTGTCCATTTGTGACCTGTTATTCTAGTCTCACACACGGATATATACACCGTGAGGTGCATGTCTCTCGTGTATATATGCTGAGAATTTAATCCCCATTCCAGTGATTACAGTATTCTTGGCCGGTGATGAATAGGTTACATGCAGACTTAATGACCCTCAGATAGTCGATATGCTTTAAACCCAATTAACAAGCCAATCAACACAGCCACAGAGCACACGCTCTATGGAGAATAATTCCCTCCATGTATTTACGTCAAGAGAAGCAGCGGAGAGGGTGAATCTCTCAATAATTCACGCACGGTTTAACTTTGTCCTTATGTTAAGGTGAAGCGTTGACCCTTTGTTTATCTTCTACCCTGAAAGGCCATTCAATTTATTTTTCTTTGTAAGTAAAATTACCTTCTGTGATGGTTAGCTTTCGGTAAAAAAAAAAATTCTTTGAGTATAATAATTAGTTACTAGTATCACAACGTTTCAAAATGATTTTTCTTTCCCATGTGTTATAAAATAGTGGTTGATATACATTTTCATTTACGATTTTTTTTCGCTGTGGTTTTTGCATTTCTATCACTGAAATTAATAGTTCGTGTTTTGTGTTCAAATTACAGCTACATTTGACATAATTTTTCTTACAATATTTCTCTTCCAATAATATTTTTCCCCCTTGGCTAATTTGGGTTCAATGACACCTCGTCTAATGTGATCGTATCTAATGGATTTTTCTTCGATCCACGGCTTAAGCTTTACTTTACATAGGTTTTCTATTATCTCACGTAGGTATAACAATTCTTTATTTTTCTGTCTGCTCACATTTGATACTGTCCTTTCTATCCCGTCATCAGCTTCCTGAGTTCTGTATGTGCAGTAACTTCTGACTTTTACTTCGGGAAATATTACGATGTTCTCGTTCATCCCCTTTAACATCTAAACAGCTTTCACTGTGTTTTCCTTAAATTTGCCTGTGCAAACACTAGCACAAAGTGAGCCTCGAACTTACGACCTACGATATATTTTTATCGCTACTTATCCTCTTAACACTCTTCCAGCCACCACTATTGCCTGTTCCAGTCTTCCATGCTCCTCAGCGCCACCACAGTCCCTCTCTCTTTTCAGGCACGCTGGAGCTTGCCCGTGCTTCAACAAGACTTGATCGACATGTCCTTCATTCGTTTCCCGACCGCTGAGCGCCGTCTGATTCGAACTGTGGGACTCAAGAAAAAGGTGACCATAAACGCAGGCTTCTCCCATGCATCCGGAGTGACATCAGCGGAGGTGAGTTTAAAGGCACTGTTGCATCAAGTGAGGTGAGACTGAAATGTGTTGTGGCATCAGATCCTTTGTGTACTCTGTTGATGTTTTCTTTGATTTTTCTGCTCGCTGTTTTCTGATGTTCGCATTGTCTCTGATGCCGGAGTGCTGATTTTTCCGAACACATTACGATTTTATCTTGCGCGATAACCTTTTATGGAGTACCTAATCAAATGTTTTCGTAAAATGTATACAGAACAGAGAGGATTGGTTTTAATACTAACTTTCGTGCCATCACACTGCAAACTGTTACAACTGGTGAGAGAATATTTGCTTGCAAGCAAAATACGACATGTGATAGGAGGAAAAATATTCTCAAGTGGTAATATCAAGACCTGAAACAGTCAGTATTTACAAACACAATATTCTTATTTTATACAACTGATATGCCTAAAGGAATGCATAATTAGACTCGTTTGTTAGTGGGTGACGCGTAGGTCCTATGCAAAGGAGTTACAACGTTAAGCTCTGGTAAAACATTATGATAAAATGAGATATAATGAAACATGGATGATGGGAATTAAAGTAGATAAATATCGCCGAACAGAAACAGGTGAGAGAGCAGAGAGAGCTGATGAGGAATGTGGATGTTATGTAACCACCCTGAAGACGACACAGAAAGTAATATGACTAATTAATAGAGACAAGACATCACGAGCATAACCTTGCTCGTTTAATTACATATAATAAATTGCAAACAGGCAATCACACACACACACACACACACACACACACACACACACACACACACACACACACACACACACACACACACACACAAACAAACACACATTTCTAGACTGGCAGGTCACAAACTCAGCTCGTGCATCAGCTGTCACTTCACTTACGACACTATAATAGTGTTCAGTTGCTCTATAAATGGTATGGAGAAACTTTGACACCACATCGCACGGTGTTATGTATCATATTTTACCGGGGGTAGATCGGTGAGCCAGCTGAAGGTTTCAGTCAACTAACCAAAAGCTCCACAGAACGGGTTATACGTCAGGAGACAATTTTACCATTTACCATGACAAAATATCAACCCCAATGGAGCTCAGCATGTGTCTGATAAATTGAAAAGGTTGTCCTAGTTCCATGGCAAAATACTAAGGTTGATAATACTAAGGTTGATAATACTGAGGATTTTTTTTTACGTAGTATTTGAAGATTCAGAACATGATACTCGCTTCTTCGTAATTGATGATTAAGATCTCCTCTCAGTATGTCGAGAAACTTACCAGTTGTAAATGTTTTTTGTTGGTGGCCTTCACCAAACTGGCAAGAATGAATGTTCATGGGGCTGCGCTTCTAAATTAATGTCAGTTGATTAGTCTGTGGGACAGGCACTGTTTGTATTGTTTACCTTGCTTCATTTTTCATGTGTGTGTGTGTGTGTGTGTGTGTGTGTGTGTGTGTGTGTGTGTGTGTGTGTGTGTGTGTACTAACCTATATGTGGTTGCAGGGGTCGAGTCGCTAGCCGCTACTGGAGTGAGTCTCTCATGGCATCGAAACCCTTGTCGTACCTCCTCCTGAAGCCATATACGGGGCCTGCCTTTACTGTTCCACTTCTCAGGCTGTTGCACTTCCCGACTACTCTCAGACAGAAAAAAATACTCCAAAGCATCCCTGTGACTCATCTGTGTATTCAGTTTTCTTATCGAGCCATTTGTCTATTATCAGACAGCCCTGCCGATTCCTTCCACTCTTCCCAATTTCCTTAGAAAATTTTTCACATCCTCCTGTTTCTTCTTAACTTCTTCCAGTCAATAATTCTTATCGCTTCCTTCCCTTTCACTGCACATCTCTTAATTCCCGAGGGACGATTTTCTTGAAAAGTTCTGTTGAGGCCTGCTCATACCTTCCTGTCATTCCGTCAGCTCACGACAGGAATATGCTTCTTAATCCTCAGTTCTGGATCCTTTACTGTCGTGGTGTTCATTGCGTGGCTGAGCATCAGTGTCAAATCCATTAAAGTTTTCACTGTTTTTTTTTCTAAATTGTGTTTCTGCTTTGTATAGTCGCTCATAGCGACTATACAAATTTATACTTATTTATATATTTATATATTTTTCCTTGTTCTACGCGCTTTAAATGACCTTTTACTTTTTAGCATTCGTTACTGTTCTTCTTTTTAACCATTTACTCTCTACCTTTTAATTTTGTTTCTCTAAATCAGTTTTTTCTTATCTCATTTAACTTAAAATTTCTTTCTTTTTTTCCCCCAAATTATTCGTAGAAATTATCCTCAATCCCATATATTTATTAGCATTAATTTTCAAGGGAATGCAGATACAACATATAGAAAAAGCTTTTAATTCGACTACGTTTCACCGAAGGCTGAGCTTCATGAAGTCATACAGAGAATTTTCACACACCTATATATCCTTAAAGAGGTTAAATTAATAACAATACAGAACAGAGTGTCAGGGGTTGATAATGCGGCGTAGCGGGGCATTGCAGTCGGTCTACTGTTCCATTAATTAGATTTAAACTGTTGCATTACAGGCCAGGTGTTTCCTGAGGTCAGAGGAGGCACCAATGGTATTGTTTGGGGGGCTGAAGTCCTCAAAATTCTCTCAGCCCCCCAAATATAAATAGTAATAATAACATTGCTTCAAAGCACCTCTCGTAGTCTCTTTTCCTACCAGATAGTCTCCTGCCCCTAACCTTAACTAGGATAGAAATTCTGGAGGCGCCCTTGCGTGTCAAGGGTTATCTGGGATGCAAGCACGCTGATGCTTTTCAGTAGTGTCTCTTGTGCCGATGATCGCAGATTCCAGGCACTGTCATAGGGATCTCTCACCCTTCTTTAATAACAAGTGTGGCGTCTTTCCAGGCCATAAAGTGTTCATGTTTGTTCCGATCACTGAAGCATGTATTGTGCGTGTGTGTGTTCAGAGTCCCTCCAGCATATAGGTATTACTGAATTTTTATGTCTAAGCTCTGTGACGTTCCTATCACAGCCTGTACGTGGAATGGTGTATACACCAGCACTGTTGCTATTTGGTTGTGTGTGTCCAGGTCTGGTAATGTCATATAATAGTTTCTGAAGTGACGATCATTAAGTTACTAACACTTGTGCCTTGGTGAGTAGATCTGTATTGTTGCCTGTTGGAAAGATATTGTGATATTGTTGTGGTTTTCCTGAGTATATAGGATTTCCTGAGTGCTCCTCTTTCAAATTACGGGTGAACTGTGACGGAAATCGTAGTGAAGGAGTCTAAAAAAAAAGTAATTTAGATTTTTCCCATTATCACCACAGTTTCCTTCTTCTAAACTTCCAGTACCTCCGTCCCTCCATGCCTTACCTCACCCCCAACACCACCACCATTCCTCCATTCTCAGCCTCACACAAGACCTCGCACACCTCCAACCCCTCATTCCTCATCTCGTTCTCACTGTTCTCTCACCTCAGATACCCTTGTACTCGAAGTCTGGCGAACTGTCGCTCGTGCTGGTGATGCCTGGCGAACAAAAGAACTTCGTGGCGAATGGACTAGCACAGGTAAGAAAATAGACGTTTTGCCAGTGGTGATAGCACAAGTTTTGTGGTGTTTCTGTGGCAACAGCAAAGTAGAAATTCTGCGGTGTTGCTATGGCAACAGTATGGCATCTGTGGTACTAGGCTGTATCTATTGCAAAATAATATCTTAAGACGCTGTTTGGTAACCACACACACACACACACACACACACACACACACACACACACACACACACACACACACACACACACACACACACACACACACACACACACACACACACACACGCACACATACACACACGCACACATACACACACGCACAGTACACACGCACACTTTAGCTCTGGAGACATTTGATTTAGTAGGTTTAAAGCCTATCGACTGCTGCATTATAACCTGCTCAGTAAAAATCTAATGTACCAAACCCCCGAAATATAAAGAATATACACTGAAAAATGTACATCACTCGGTGTATATACAGAGTGCTACATTTTCGGCGTATT